GGGACTCGATCCCGGGACTCCAGGATCATTACCTGAGCCGAAGGCAGTCGCTTAACAAACTGAGTCACCCAGGCGCCCTTTTTTAAAATTTTTAAAAAAGATTTTAGTTATTTATTTGAGAGAGAGAACGAGAGAGCACCCACAAGTAGGGGAAGGGGCAGAGGGAGAGGGAGAAGCAGACTCCTCGCTGAGCAGGGAGCCCGACGTGGGGCTTGATCCCGGGACTCTGGGATCATGACCTGAGTCGAAGGCAGACGCTTAACGACCAAGCCACCCAGGCATCCCCGAAGGCAGAAATGTAAGAGAAGAAGCAGGGGCACCTGGCTGGCTCAGTTGGGAGGGCATGCAACTCTTGATCTCAGGATTGCGACTTGGAGCCCAAAGTTGTGTGTGGAGCTTACTTAAAATAGATAGATAATTAGATGAAAAATAGAAGAAGCAGAAACATGCAAGAACCTGACACACCCTCCCTCTGTTGGCTAAAGCATCATGTGGCTGAGCCCAAAGTCAGGCAGTGGAGAAATATCTGTCCCTCTGGGAGGAATGCAGGGAGGGATGAGGGATTGCCACTAACAACACAATCTGTCAGGGTAGCTTTTTGGCGCATGTTTTATTTTTGAAAATTCCTTTTGCGTTCTCCTTTTCTATTTTTGTTCTCAGAGTAACTCAGTGATTCATTTCCTTCTAAATAATGTTACTTAAAGTTTTATAAAGAAGGGGAGGCTAGGTATACCAAATAGATTAGTCCTATTTATGTGAATGTGGAGGTAGGTGGTGGAGTAAGAGCTTACATTTGCCTACAGAGGGCATGGAGGTAGGCCCACTTTTCTCTGGCCTTTCCCCTCCCTGGGGCAGAGTCAGTGGTCATCGTGTTAGACACAGAGACAGACTCCCACTGTGCAGCAAGCAACCTTAGAATGACAAAGCCATGTTTTGGTGGAAGTTACTCTCACCTCTGTCCATAGTGGGGTGCCTCATTGTTAGAAGGTGGAGGACGGACAGTAGAGTACCCTCCAGACTGAGAAGGCACTTTGAGACTGAAAAGCAAAGGAAGTCACTCCATACCATTTACATGGAGTTTTATTCAGGGTAACTTACTGATGGGGGGATC